TCAATCTATAGCCGGAAGTTGATCCATCAGACCGAATGAGCGGGCGAGAAACCAGTCTGCTGTGCGCAAGAAACCGAACGCGGGAAGATCTTCTAATGTCTAATTGTCTAATTTTCTCATCGCACGGCAACGATCGCTGAACCGAGCGGTACGGAGCTTTCACGGCAGCTCTCGTTCCGTTGTAGAACGTCGTCGAGCTTCCTGGAGGGAGTCCGTCGACGAATAACGTATGGAATCGATTTTTCAAGAAAACAGCACACGCTTGCGATGGCGTAAGCGACGAGAAAGAAGCCATAGATTTTTCCGAAACTCTCGATCGTGAACTCTTCTGTCTGGTTAGACTTCAAACGGTAGCTCCAGCATCGCTGGAAGCTTTCCGCCGCTAGGAACTCGGCAATGATCCTCTTCTCTAGCTTCTTCCGTCCCACTTCGTATTTCCGATTCGGATCTGAAAATTTGATTGGGGGTACCAGAGCGTGCGCAAAAAGCGTGAGCATCACGCGACTCTGCTGCGTGAGGGTGTGCACGAGTGCACTCCTGTGGAGGCCCATCGGTCGGGCTATGCGAGGGACATGGAAAATCCTCAAGTCCACCATGTGTAGTTCTTCTTCGTATCCTCGGGGAAAAACTGCCACAGGGCGTCTCTCGAGAGAAAAGTTCATATGCTCCAATGCGGTGTTCCTGAGGCCGCAGATGGCGTTGCCTCTCGCCAGCTCCAATACTTGTATGGTAGCGTGGGGGCATTGCTGCGCGAAAACGGAGCAGGAGACAAACTTCGATGGCTCCGAAGATGCTGCGCGGTTGAGGAATTTGGACATCATGTAGTTTCCGTATAGCGTACTAACGAAGAAATTCATCATCAGAGCTGCCGAAACGACGAAGAGGACGGGAGTCTTCTTTCGCTGGAAATCTATGGAGGCGGCTGAGAAGAAATTGAAAGCTGATGCGACGATAGCACTCGTCATCGAGGAGTTCCCCAAAAGGGACGAGAGCTTGCTCATCAGTATCAAGAGTGCCGTCAAACACATCCAACAATCCAAAGGCATGACTTCGAGGAAAGCAGACATCCCCGGCCTTAGCAGATTTTGTAGAGCATAACAGTCTGAAAAGTCTGGTGTCTGAATGACGTTGTTCGCATCGGCAAGCCTGGCGAATGGCCCACCGAAGAAGCTCAGTATGCCCAGAGGTAAGCGCACGCGGGTGTCCGTGTGATTACATAAACATTTGAGATGTATGGACATCTCATGTTGGTAACCTATCCTGTAGTTCAAGGTCTTGTGATGAAACTGCAACCCTCTCAGCGAGCATACTTGTTCCTTCGCACCGATGCAGTCGGAAGTGGGCTCGTCCCGGCTGCGTTCCCTCCAAGAAAACAGATTCGATCTTCTGATACACCAGAAGGGCCTTTTCGGAGATATCCAGCTCAGAACCGGAATCCCGAAATTGGGGTTGACAGGGTAGAAATTGTTTTCTGACACATCGAGGAATACGAAGTGCACCACACACTTGTCCCGGATATTTTGGGCGATATCTGGAACCCGATCAAGTCCCGCAATCGGACCTGACAAAATAATGATCCTCTGAGGCGCCGCCACCGCATCGAGGAAGAATGGCGCCGTATCGCTGGGGCGACGTCCGTTCCAAGTCTTCAGTTCTCCGATTGTGAGCAGGAAATCATTCTCCAATAGGAGTTCGCTCATCTCCGTGTGGAAACTTCCTCCGTTCGGAAGTATGCCTCCACCGTCGACGATGAGGAGGTCCGCTCCCGACAGCCCAGCAAGTCGTCCGTACCTCTCGGCTTCATCGACCACTTCTTGCGCATCGATTTGAAAACAAACGTATTCTTCAAATGCTAGCATCAATAAAGTAGGTAAACTCAGGATCAGCATGTCCACAGAGATCGAAATAATGTCACTTCGAACCAAATGACGACCTCGCGCCGCGAAGCCACGGGATACAGCTTCCCCGACCGAGAAATAAGAGTGACTTCTGAGCTCACCACTGCATGTTCCGAGTAAGCTGTTCGCGCGGCCTTCGCTGACAATCGACGTGACTCGATCCTGAGTGAAGACAAAAGAGTCCCGTTGACGCCCTTCATGACTTACATCTTATCTTAATTGATGTCTCTGTCTGAAGGCTCAATTTCCCTGCGATCTATCCAGGCTCTCAGCGATATCAAAAGACGCTCATACATCGACGAGAAACGTTCAAGAGGTCTGAGCGAGGCTTCACTCCCCTTCAAGACGAATGCCCCCATATCTCTCGGAGAACATACCCGAGGATCATGATTCCCTCAGGAGTTTCTCAGCTGATCTCATGCGAGTTGCTTGCAGCGGTGGCCAACTCGGGAAAGCCGGTGGACCCCCAAACCGCCTTCGCAGGAGCTGGTGGACCCCCTATTTCCCATATTGATACTTTTCATTCGCCCCATGTGTGAAGTTCTCCGATATAAGGGAGATGATGAATGAGGGAGACCCAATCAGAAGAGTTCGAGCGAATTTTGGTTTGGGGATATGGGCATTTTATTTTACGGAATATGATCGGTGAGTCCGAAATTACCAAGAACACAGAGATAGAACTCGCATTACCGCACTGAGTACTAAGAAAGCGACTCATGTGATCTGATCTCTCGTCGACCCGATGAGAGACGGTCCATGTTTGGTTCCAAGGAAGAAACCCCGAGTCGCAACTCTGCGTGGATCTCGAGGCTGAACCGGTCGCGAGTTTTGATCGCAGACAAAAACGTTTTCTCACAGAGATATGCTGTCGAGAATGGGAGTGGAATCTTGATAGCTGCGTAGTTGAGGGCTGGGTACTCGGAACTCATTCCCAGCCAAAACTCAGACCTTGAGGAGGTTCAAAACTTCATTCCGAGCGCGCCGTCCGATGCGAGGTCCAAAATCCGAACAGAACCCCTCCTAGGGTCTGCACATCCTGGATAGTAAAGTTGGAACAGCTCTTCGAGAGACCGCAGATGTAGTCGAATTATTCCGACAACTTTGGGGGAGACGGGGTTCTCTGCTCGAAAATCGTTTAGAGCAGGAAACATCAAGTAATCTCCGTCGTAAGGGGCGCTTTGCCACAGTGCGAGCTTCCTACGGGAGCCATTCATTTTCCCACGGATATTGAATAGATCGCTCTGAGCTCCTCGCAGTGACATATTGGGATCATTGGGTTTTGAGGATATATCACTCAAGTTTGCGAGTTCCGCATTCCAGTCGAGATCTCCCAGAATTCCCAGTAGCTTCGGATTCTTCTGCTGTTGTAAGAAAGGTTCCCACTCCGGTAGCAGGTTGACAAAGCATCTCAAACAAGCGAGAGTTCGATGTTGCCGGGCGAATCTCGTTAACTATGCCGTCAATACTCTATCAAGTTGAGGCGAGAGTCTCTTTGCGACAAGCTGCTCTCAGTGGATGACAGTGGATGACAGTGGATGACACAGTGGGTCGATCGGAGGTCCGGATGGGAGATCCTTCTGCCCGTCGAAAAGACTCACTCTGATCGCATCTCTCCCGGAATGTCGCCGTGGACCCCCGAAGATTTTGATGTGGACCCCCCGGGGGCCCATGGAGCCCCACTGGGCTACCGCCCAAGCCTTGAGGCGAAAACCCCTCTCAGTTCCGCGAATTTCCGCGGCTTTCTCGAGGGATCACTCATTCATTAGATTCTACCCTGCCGTTGGGGTATAGGAGGTGGATACGCTCGGATCGCTTCGCTGATGTTCTGCTGTCTGACCATGAGAATCCTATTCCTGGCTCCTGCGAGGGATCCTGGCTTGATCGGGAAGCTCGACGTCGACTCGACTTCGGAGAGTGCCCGGTCGCCCGGTATGTGGTGCATGAAGGCTAGACGTACGAACGAGAAAATTGGATAAATACATTGTGACTTGCGCATCCATTCCTGAGACAGCTTGAGCACACTTACGATCGTGTTTCTGAATCGAGACTGAATGTCCCCACGCTAGGCTTCTTTCCTTGGCGACGACTCCGCGACGGACTCTAATCATCGCAGTGCGCGAGCTGTCGTCTGGAGCATCAGCTCGCGGATCAGGTGTCTGGAGCATGTCGGGACTGATCATAAAACAGAGAATAGAGAATCGAGTCTCAAGCGGACCCTAAAAATTGAGGCTATTTTGACGCCGAGGCCAAACGCGTACGGCAGAATACCTCAACCCGAAGCTGCTCGGTCCCTCGGTTTCGCCTCTCTGAGCAGGAGGTGGGCTACTTTAACGTTTTCAAGAGCTGGATCACAATCACTCACGAGATACTTACAAGAAGACCGAACTTGAAGACCCGCGGTTCTGTGATTCTCGACTCGAAGCGTCGAGCTTCCCAATACTCATTGGTTAGCTGTATACCTCGGCCCGACTGAGCCCACGGCTCAGTTTATGACCTGATCCGCGCCCCTACACGAGCGCGGCGCTTCTCATAGACATGGAGGTGTTCGACGATGCGATGAGGCTCAGAACATGGTCAGGGTCCTCACCGAGGGAGTAATTACAGCATTCCATGCCGGAGACGGTTCTGCCTATTGTTCACCTCTGGAGAGATTCCGTAGCACAGCGTGGGATATCGTCTCGAAAAACAGGGAGCCTCCGACCCTTCACAATGATCTGAAGGGCTAATGAGTGCAAAGATGTAGGAGGTAGTGAGTAGGAGCCTCCGCGATTCCGAAATCGGTCCGGGACTTTCCGTCACTTCCCCCATGCAGCTATGTCGCGGAAGCCTCTTCTCTCTGATCTTACGCGCCATAGTGCAGCGGAGTCGGCCAGTCCGCCACCCGTACCCCTCCTACCAATCTCTCTACGCTTCTCGTTCGAGAGAAACTACAATATCGATCTCCCGCATCGAAATTGTTTCTTCGATCTGAATTCAAGGGAGGAACATCATGTCGGCGGCGGGAGGAAACCTTCGATAATATTTTTTATTATTTCATTTTGAGCTCTTTTGAATTATATTACATTTCAGCAAGCTGTACATTGCAAGATCGGTGAGCGGAATATACACTTTCATGCCGGTCCTTGTTCCGCCTCGGCCACTGGATTACCAGAGCCGTCGGATTCCGAGCCATCTCCACTTTCTTGTGCGATTCCCTGATGCTCCGCTGCCGGCTGCTGAGGGACGCCATCTTCGAAATCCAGAATTATCTCGTCTGGGTCAGGTGCTCTCGGCAGAAACTCTTCGTCTGGATACATCTTCCGAAAAACCTCTTCGGCTTGCTCGATGTGGATGTCGTAATCAAGTTGTAGGCCGGGCGTCGACATCAAGTACAAACCCGCAAAATCATCGGTCGTGGGCTTGGAACGCATCGTCGTATCGATCATATTGAAATAGGCTACCCAGACCCGCTTGCTAGAAGGATATATTTTCTCCACCAATGCTTTCAGATCTTCTCTAGCGGAAATGACCTTGCGGCAGATGAAATGAGCGACCATCAAGTTCTTCGGGCAGATCATCATTCCGGCACCTTGTTCTATGACGGTGACCGCTGGTCGATCGTTCCCGGGGGGCACTCTCAGTAAGGTCCCAGCTCCCGGCTCTTCGATCGGAGACTCTTGATGTAGTATCACTATGGCTCGTGAGATGTGCTCGTTGTTGGAGGTGTGGCTCGGATCGAAGTCCTGGTTGATGACGACGTGTGAGGCGCGGAAAGTTTCTCCTCGAGATCTGACGGCTCTGACTCGATTGTCCTCGTCGACAAAATATCCTTCCACTTGTCTGTCGAGATGGTACACGCCGCCGAAAACAGCGCAGAGCCGGCAAAAGCATTGAGCGAGCTCTCCACACCCGTATATAGGGGAAAGGAACGGACTGTTCCCATATCGACCGAGTGATCTGATAAACTTGCGCGCGTCTTCGAGAGCGCTACCAGTCGTTGTGCTCGGAGTCGCCATAGCGATCGAGTGCAGGATGAAATGCTGAAGGTTTTCCGTCAGGAATAAAGCTTTCAACTTGATGAAGTCCTCGAAAGGCTTGTCCAACCACTCAGTGAACAGGGGCTGGTTCTCGTAGTCCAAAACATTCGTTATGAAACGCATGAGCGCACGTTTCTCCACAACGTTGACGCTATCCGTGGCGAAAACATCCGCTCTAGAACAGGGGACTTGCACGATATCGTCGCCTTTCAGAGTGAGGATCTTCGAAGTCAACTTGAACTCCGCATACTTGGCAATGTTCGACGAGATGAGTAGCTCGACCATTTTCCCTCTGGCGAAAAGGAGTTTCGGCGCGAGATCGAGGTTGAATTTCCGAGAGTTTTGCTCGAGTTTCTCCAGCGACCATTCGCTGTGCTCGTTCACCTCGATCTCGACGTTGGAAAAGACAGGCGAAGCTCTCGACTGAATAAATCTGAGTCCGTCTTCAGAAGTTGCTGCTCCGTCCCCATCGGATGGCTTCGGAGGCGTCTGTAAGATCTCTGTGAGATCGTGAAAGTTGAACGAAGCAAACATGGATCCGTAATGGCTCCTGTGATCGAAATGGAGCACCGACTTCCCCACGCGTGCACAGGCTGCGGCAACGATGGATTCCGGAACGCCGGTCCCAAGCACGATGACGTCCACCTCTCTCGGTAGATCATCCATCCTGGAATAGAATTCAGATCAGTTTAGAGAAGCTGAAGGATGACGAAGGACTTGGTTCGGGACAATGAGAGAAGACAATAATGATCTCGTTACGATATATGCTGCTGATAGAGGACCTCGCAGATGAGATACCGTGGGTGGGGACTCAAAGCGGCATTTAAGAGAGAATCCATTTCAGAAAGCAGAGAAGAACTCCTGAAAGCTTATCACTAACCTTATTCCAATTGGTTGCTCCAGGGATCTTTGTCTGTTCCGTGGCTCAAGGGGATATTCCGGAAGATATTGTTACTCCTGTCACTCCTACTAGAATTTTCACGAAATCACTTCGCTATGAGGAACACAGCTGACTAGCGTGCCAAGTCGCCAGGAAAGGAAAAGCGGCATGCCTTAGCACAAAGCAGAAAGGTTCCAACGCTGTCCCCCAGAATGAGGGGCTTAAGTTCGAAAGTGCGATACGCAGAGAAGTATCGCGATTTAAAGTTCGTTCATGAGTCATAGGCGAACGGCAGTTCAATGTGTATGAGCCGCTGATGATGATGATCTCTGCTTGCGCCTGGAGGAATATGGGGATCTTCGATCTCACAGAGCCTGAAGCCCTCCCTTACGGAAGGCTCGAGGAAAGGAAGAAAGTCACATCGGATCTGCCCTGCGCGTCTCCTGATCACTTCGGCCTTTGCGATTACCAGCGAAGTTCCTTGCTTGGAGTCATGCTCGAGACGATGGGGAAAAAACCCGTGCATTCGGAAGCCCGTCCCCGGTCCCCAGCCTCGGAAGGGAGGCTGGAAGATCCCTAGAGAGCCCGAAAGAATCCTAGACGGAACTAATTTCAACTCCAATGATCTGGAGGAAGAGGAGAGTTGTGGGTTATCATTAAAGACTGGGTATCTACGACCCTCCATCGCTAATCGTAAGCATCAGAGTGGTCCCCAGTGAATTATCTTGGCTGCTGTGACGCTCCCCCGATCGGATGGAGACTGTTCTGGATCAGGTACCTCACCACTATCTTCGCTCCCCGATTACGCTTCCTATGGTATGTTTCTTCCCCTTGCAACGACCGACACGCTGTGATTAGTGACTCCTTCAACCTCGACCCTCGCCCTCAACTAAAGATGATTGTTCTCGTTGAAAAAGGCGAAGCAGACAAGGTCGCGAATAGCGCGACCTCGGAGCCGAGACAGGTCGATGCAAGACGTCTTGTTGAAGGAAAACTCCGTCATCTCGGCTTCAAGCGGTCGATTCGTACCCTGTCGAACTCTGGAAGGATCGCGCACCTGCGAAGCGGATCTGTCACCTAAGTAATCCGACTGAATATCTGATGATTGATCCTCTCAGACGTTCGAGAAACCCTTTGCTGAGAGGAGTATCCCCCAACGCATTATGAAGGAACGGATGAAAAATGAAGTCGCAAGTTATATTCTCTTGAAGCATTATTCTACATCGCTGTCCTCGTCGCTGGCGTCGCGTTTTCGAAGCGGCAAGTCCTTCGGGAGATTGTGTTCTTTGAGGCACTCCATAAATGAGATCGTTCGATCCTTCATTTCCTCGAGAGCACACGAGTAACGACTGTGAAAAGAATCGATGAACTCGTATCAGGGCAGACTGTCCCGTCGGGGGAGCGAGGGGTCAAAAAGTGGGCAAGTGCGGATCATCTTAGGTCTCGGGCTGCTAAATACCACTGGAGGGTGGTGTAGAGACTTGCATTTTGAGCGTTGAACCATCCGAGGAGACCTCGGCCCTCCAGTCTTTGGGCAAGAGAGTTTCGATCTGTTTCAGCTCGTCCTCGTTATTCACATGTATGTCAAGCTGCCTGCGATCGGACACGAATGTGAGAATATTTTTTTTACACAGGGCTCCGTGGGGAACCCGTCACGAACAGAATCGGACATACACGGCGCTGTCTGCCCTTCGTGAACGCTTCCACGTACTCGTGGAATCCCAGTCAAGTCTTCCCACTATTGGAGTCGACTAGACCGTTCAAGTCTCGCGACTCCGAATTAGCGATCAGCTCATCCTTCCGCTTACCCGATGACCGGATCTTGGGTGATCCGACCAGCACGCGTAGCCATTGCTCCGAACGATGGCCAGTTACCCCGACGAGTGAGCTAAAGCGACAGACTTCCCGCGTCGAGGAATATGCCTCGGTTGAGCACCCGGTGCTGAACAGCTGATGTTGTTGCCGCCGCCTCGATGCTCCCACTCCCTCTCTCATAAGGATCGTGCTTTCGGAGTGTGTGTAAACAGAGGAGACATCCCGGGGAGAGGCGGAGCAGAAGCCACAAGCCATTCGGCGCAACTTCTCTAGTGAGGAGACATGCATGAAAACTCTGGGCAGCCCGGATGGACTTCGGATCCCCAAGAGGATCGTTGCTGAGCGAGTGAGTGTCCGACCGATCTGTAGCCTCGCTGGGCCTCCTGTGATGCTCATTTGTGGGCCATGGAGAAATATCTCGTCAAGAAAAGGGCCCAGCCTGACTCCGGAGGAGAGGGCCCGAGCTCGTCTGGCTCTTCAACTCGCAAAAAGTTCTCCCAGAAGAGATTGAGGGATTTGAAGGTACTCCATACAATGTGAGAAAAGCCGATATGGTCCGGATCCTGGGGACTCGTTTACGACTGCACTTGAATGCGCCTTGTCAAGGGAGAAATAGTAACGGAAGGGACTTTTTGGCGATGCCGTCAAACAGGGTGTCGTGATTCTAGAGGACATAAGAAAAGCCAAAAGCTTCCTGACTGATTCTGCGTCCACCGATGAGCTACTCGAGAAAACACTGCGGAACCTCGCCAAAAAGATTCCCGGTGAGCGACCCGCCGTCTCTCCCCCATCTCAGTCAGATCAGATGAATTGGGCGCTCGCTCTCATTAATCAGAATGTCTAACACAGGTCGTGATATCCTGCTGGAGACTGGAATAGGCAAATCAGTAAGAAAACTGACGAAACATGAGAATCTCTCCGTGCAAGCCGCTGCCAAGAAGGTCTTCGATTTATGGAAAGATCATGTGATACACAAAGCTAAGCAACAGAAGCAAGAGGTCAAATTCGATCTCGAATCTCAAAGGCTCCGGGACATAGCCAGAAGGTCGTCGACGCCCTCATGCTAAACATCCTCCACTTATGACGGATAAGAATATTTCCCCTCTCACTCGATAAGTATTCTTCCATAGATGGTTTGCAGAGGCTCTATCAACAACTGCCCAGGATGATGTAGTTATCCGGCTTGAGAACACCATATTCTACTCGTGCAAAAGGATCCTCACTGCCCCTTACAGGTGCGTTCGACTGATTGCATTTCTCTACTTGACTTTGACGATTACTCTTGAGAAGGAACTATCGCTTATTCTCTCAAAGAGCTCGCTAGTAATTGACCCCTATTCTAGACGAAGCTGTCGGCAAATCGCTCACAAGCTTCGGAAGGATGTCATCCTGCAGAATAGACTCGTAGCAGGTCAGTACTTATTTCTCCCGATCTTCAATCTCATTTTAAGCTCATGGACTACCTCTCTGACTCAAGCCCTCGAATTCCAGGGAGCATCGAGATGGAGGACTTCGTCAAGAAGTACAAATGTTCAATTTGAGGCAAGCAGAGGGAGTCATTCGATCTCGGGTATGGGAATACCACAAACAACGACCGGGCGTTGTAGGCTTTGGACCCCGAGCTCTCTAGGCTGATCGAATTCGAACATGTGGAGACGAAATAATTGACCCTCGATACTTGGAATAAAATTCAGCGACCGGTGTGACGGTCTGGCGACTTCTTTCCGACTGACGTCACCTCCAGGATTCGGCTGCCACCAGAGTTTAGGCAGGCCATAGTAGGGGGAGTGATGAGTACTCCAAGGATACATTTCCAGGCTGAGGATCGATTTCGACGTCATCCCATGTCGAAGGCTACGCCCGATAACATTGGATACGCTCTGGCTTGAGCTCAAGAGGATGATACTAATAATGACGCCATACGGGCAAGCTCCGGCGCCGTCCTTCCGCGGAGGCCAATCTCGACTCCTCTCCGTGACTCACTCGAAGAAGCAGCTCGAAAGTTTCGGAAGGCCAGCATTATTCTGTGGCGGGATCGCAAACTGGGTACGGCACAGCGATTTAAAGCTCCGAAAATCCCTTCATTCTCGAATAAGTGCCTTCGCCGGATCAGGCATCGTCAGCCGTCGCGTCGGCTGTATCCTTAGACGTCGCGTTTCAGTGCTCATGAGTCCCTTGTTTCCCGATTTTTCGAATTTCGCGCGTCGTCGTCGTCTGCCGTTCTCATTCCCCTCAGCAGGAGCTTCAGAAAATAAACATCCGCAGATGCGCGGGAACCGATGGCGATACTCAGACGTTCTAAACTTCATCACTGGAATCCGCGGCTGTCGGTGATCGACGCGAGGTCTTCGAGAGAAACCCGAGAAATTTGTGCTGGTCGTCATGGAGAAATCCAGCTGCTTTGGAACGTCAGCGCTGGTCGACGAAATCATCAGCGATGCTCTTCAGAAAATGGAATCGGTACTGTATTTCTCCTTCGGGCCATATGATAGTCCTTCCCCTAATTCAAACAGCTGGATAATTGAACCAATCAAAATGATGCAGTGTTCCATGGAAGGCCCACGCGAAGGCTCTGCCGAGAAGGCCAAACCTGTGTGACAGCAGGAATGGAAACGGAAGCGGTCCGAAATCCATAGACCTACTTAATTTTTTTTTCGGACGTTTTGAGCTCAATCGACTTTCCTCGCGTAGGGTGATCTTCTCCCAGCGTCCGAAGCCTCCTCTCTGTCAATTCTGCACGGCGGAAACCCAGTCGCGCGGTCAACCTCGATCACGAATATCCCGGGTCTGCGGGGCTTCAGATCCTTCACCGACGATGTGATAAAATCCTTTATGGATAGAGACAGTCGTTTCGGTGCGATGACGAACGAGAGTGCCTCGGATGAGAACTCGGGTTCAAACCCTTTCGAAGGCTTCTCCGGGACCCAGCAGTTCGAATCGTCCGGGGAGTTCGTATCCAGCGAGAAACTATTGAATGAGTTCGAGGAGGATGAGAAACGATGTCGCGAGGAGAACCTATTCCGCGAGGTCAGTGCTCTCTGCAAAGGTCTTCACGCCTGAGATATCGCAGTCCACAGATATCATCCGAAAAGTATGGCGTCACTCCCTTCCAGAATCGACCGGTTCCCGTGGAATGCGCCTCAATTTCGGAGTCCCCGGAAAAGCTGGCGAAAAAACAGGTTGCCCCACCAGAATGGACAGAGAACTCACCGCAACTGGATTCTTTCTCCTACTTCTGCAACCAGCAAAGAGCATCGACTTACGGCGCAGATATTTCCTTCCCGAACTCTGAGAAGACTCTCCATCTGTCTCAATCGAACACTCAGGAGAAATCGGGAAATAAAGAGGTATACACAAATGTGGGATGCCCACGACGGATGTATTTTCGAGGGTACTCGGTCATTTCCTGCGAATCTACCTTGCTTTCCTACCGTAGGCGACATCGAACTACAATCCGGGTCTCCCGTACCGTTTGGGAATCGTCCTGCCGGGGGTTTCGACTACCTTCGATCTGCTCCCTCTGGCAGCTTGCTCGAGGTCGGTGGTCCTGGCGAAAAGCTCGCTGAACGGAAAACAGCTCCCCTTGTGCCAAACCAAACAGACGAGCCAGCATCTGAGTCTTGTGATAAGTCCACCGCCAGAAGCCGTGGGAGAGATACTGATCACGTTGGAACTTTCACCGAGCATTTCCCTCGCTCTGTCGGCGTTCTGCATGTCACCAGCGTTCAGCTTACCATCACGGATTTGTGTGCCCCCAGGGAGTGGGAGCTTCGTGCCTTTGAAGATCGCCTCACCCTTCCCCACCACGCTGAGGCTCGGTGTACGGTCGGCATTGGTGAAGACGAGAGAGATTCTACTCACACCTGAGACGGATACGGTTTACCTCGAGCTCTACGGTCTGACCGCGGAGAGCGCCCTCGATGTCACACTCCTCTTCCGCGACCAGGAGTTCGTGTCAGTCAGCAGCGTTCTCGAAGTCCGCAAGCTGAGAATTTCGTTCCAGTGTCGAACTGAGGGTTCGAGCTCATCGCTGGTTCTAACGAACTCGGAAAACTTCCCCGTCGAAGTGAAGTTGAGAGATAACTCCGGATGCCTGAGCTACTCGAGCTCTGTACCTCTCTTGGAGGGACAAATGATCATCAAGTCCATGAAGAGCTTCATCATGCCACCCGGACAACCAGAGCGCCTTGTGACCTTCCGTCTGGATTTGGTGTCACCGATTCGAGCTCCCTTGTCCGGTGAATGCTCGGTACGATTCCCGTCCACTCTGGCAGATCTGCGGCCGAACCTCCCGCGATTCTCATGGCTCCTGGATGATGAAGTCGAATTCTCGATGGTCGACCATCAGACCAACAAACCTCAAGCCTGGAAAGACCGAGTGGTCATCTCACCGTGCCCGATGCTCGAAAAATACATAAAGGTAAGTCTAGGGACTCCAACAAGGAGACGGTCTGCAGCCTTGAGCCACCACCCTCGAGAAAACTGAGCTGACCTCCTTTTCTAGATCGTGGAAGAGCCAGGGAATCCAACCAAGATCATCTTGAGGATAAGCAGGCCTTCCCAGCTGGTCTTCGGACGTTTGAAATTCTATCGACGAGGAGCTGATGGGAAACCCGTGGGTGTACCGTACGGATTCAGATATCCCTTCCTCGTGCCGCAGAAACCCCAGCTGCGTTGGCATACCGTCGCGGAGAACATGGCGGCTAACGTCTACCAGATACCGATGGACGGAAAGGTAAGACCAAGGATTCGTGTGTCGGTTACTTTTCTTCGCGCAGATTCCGATCCTCCTTCTCATGGTGACTTCAACGTCCGCTTAGCAAACTTTCGTCGTGTCTGATTCGACGTGCGATTTCAGCTGCGCGTTTCGAACCTCATATCCGATGACATATTCATCGTCACGCCTAGCCAAGGCTTCGTGCTGTCGGGCAAAAAATCGATTGAGCTGAACATTCGCCAACCTTGCAAAATTTACTACGGCTTGGAGGCGTGGCGACAAATTGTCAAAACCAGAGTGAGCAAACATTTGGACCAGATTAGGGAAGCGCCGCTCACGGATCTCGATCCATCCACCATGCTTTGTGATTTCTCGCAGGAGAGCAACAAGTCTCCGGATAAGAGATGTCTAGACGTGGTAAGTGGGCCCCGTTTTTTTCCTCAATTTGACGCATCTATGCCGGCGCTCCCAGGTCTCTGAATGAGCTCGAACGGATGCCCTTTCAGATCCCGAGTGATCCTCAATCGTCTGTGCGGCTCTACCAACTCTTCGAAGGGACCTTGGACGTCGTAACGCTTCAACACCACACAGAGAACGGCACCTTCTTCGTTCGATAAACGGAGAATCATTTGGAGAATATTGATTTTCAGACCAGAAAATGACATGACCGTGGTGATATTCCATGATTTATTATTATCTCGCTCAATACGATACGAAATACTGACAGAACGAACGCCTTCTTTGCAACTGGTCGGTGCACTATGAAATAAACCGAAATCTCTATCAGAAGAAAGCATTCTTCCCCGAATTCTACTCCCATAGCTGACAGAGTCTTTAGCATCCTGATCGTGCGCCGTAAATTCAAAGCGGCGCGAGACAGGGGAGGCTTGCAATCGTGGCAAAACCATCGGAAAGCGATTCCTCCTGTCAGAGCCTTGCAGAAAGCAAGTGCAGCTGGTTGTCTCCATGATCTTCCGTCGCCTCGTCAATATTAACTGTAATCGCTATAGCTTCCCAGGACTTGGGCTGGAGGAAAATCCGAATCTCAGCAGGAGGATTTACCTCCTCCGTCACCTCCAGAAGCGAGGGCACGGCCCAAACTCATTTGAGGTCCTTTGGAATGATAAACCGAGAGTCACAGTAGGATATCGCCGATCCTGACGGCCTCTGGAAAAAATGAAAGAAGGAAGATCGCCAGATGACTCTACATACCATGGGAAGATGAAGACTTGGTTGAACTTTCGTCTCAGGATAAACCAGATAGACGAAGTGATCAGCATCACTTAGGGCGGCGGAAAATCAAGGAAGTTCATGGGAGCTCGATTTCTCTCCCATCCTCGGAAGCAGCCCGACTTTGTTCTCTGACGACATTCCAATTTGGGGCAGGGGGACGGAGCGCGACAGAGGCTGAGCTTGAGTGGGTGAGGGCGGCAAGATCCGCATCGGGCTCGACGCCGTAGACAACGCATCCATAATCGACTCCGAACAGCATTCTCCATTGATATTAGAAAGCACTCCAAGAACCTCTTTCTATCCCCGCTACTTCAAGCTCGCAGAACGTAGTCGATCCCTCCTCATCCGTCTTCAGAGAATTGCTTGTGCCGCTTGACACAATGCCTCGCTCAGATCGCTTCGCCGATTCAGTCCCGCCATCTTCGGCCACAGTCCCGAAGTCGGTGGTGTCGAGGAATGGTTTTGGTTTCGATCTCACTCCTGCGAAGTTTCGGCTTTCGCGTTCCAGGCATCGAAACGATATTAAATTCGAGCCATTAAAATCAATTGTTCGCGTCCGATTGCAATCAATCGATGGGGAGCTTAACCAGGCATGCCGATTTAATTCAAGTCTTCGAAAATCTGGCAGCAGTCATTGAAGCGGGACCTGTCAACACCTAAAATGGATTATCATCTTCACGCCATTGAACCCTCGGATGTTCTTAGATGATCATTAAGTTTCAGCTTACAAGCTGTTCACGTCACCGACCGTAGGGACCTATCCACGTGTGATTCCCCTCGGAGGGTTCCGGGAAATGTAGAAAATGCCGCTTTGCTCACCGAACGCTACCTTCGAAGACGAGTACGCGTTGGATTTCCTAAACTTTGTGAGACAGCTCTTCCAAGGTGTCCTCGTCCCATTAGTGTGCGGGATTGGTAAGTCGCGGATCAGTTAGAACTGTCGCCATCGTCATGTGCCTTCGATGGGAAGACTTCACGACTTCGGACCTTGATTTGGGTTTGCAGGAACTCTTCTGAACGCCATCACGTTCATTGTGATGACCCGTCGCTCGATGAGAACCTCATCCAACATGTATCTAGCCGCGAATGCTCTGTGTGACGGCACCTATTTGGCCTGCTCGCTAATCCTAGGTGAGTTCCAGCTCCTGATTAGATTTCATTCGGATTGTTCTTGATTTTTTATGAGAATTCGGCAATCACTACGGCTGTGCCTTCACGCGCACGAATGCATGCAGTGCACAGAACGCACAGCCCTAGCGATCACGTCCTGAGGGGAGATGCGATCCACTCAATCATCGGGAGACTATAAATGATGCGCTCCGATCACTCTCCGCAGGTTTTGAACATGAGGTGCCCGAAACTGCTGCTTTCGATATATTCCGCCGACTTATACCGATTTTCGTCTCGCTCATCGATTTTTCCCAGAATTGTTCCGTGTGGCTGACCGTAATCTATACTACAGAGCGTTACGTTGCTGTTTGCCATCCGCTTCAAGGTATGGAGCTCAAAGTTTTTCAGAATTCATCCCCTTCCGATTCGCTCTCCCTTCTCACAGAAAAATTATCTTATTCCAGCGAAAGCAATCTGCACCGTTTCGCGGTCGTTGAGGACAATAGCTTTTTGCGCGATATTATGCACTGTGTTGACTTTCCCGAGACTTTTCGAGTACAGCTTCGTTGAAACAGGCGACCCTCCGATCGTTTGTCTGACCGACTCGGATCTGTACAGAAACATAACTTACCAGAATGTATACTTCTGGCTCACTGTGGTTTTGAATACTATGATACCATTCGCTTTGCTGGCGTTCTTCAATGTGAAACTAATCCGAGCCGTTCGCGAGTCAGAAAAAACTCGAATAACTCTGTCGCAGGGTCGCGGTGATCGATCTGAAGCGAAGGCGACCATTATGTGTATTGCCGTGGTCGTCTTGTTTCTAGTATGTCAAACTCCGTCGGCTTGCTCTTTGGTCTTGTACAGAGGAAAAAGCGACAACCTCATCAAAGGCCTCGGGAACATTTTCAATTTCTTGGTTTGCTTGAACGCTGCGGGCAATTTCCTTTTGTACTGCTTGTTTAGTCCGAAATACAGAGCAACTTTATTCAGCCTCTGGGAGACAGGCTGCAGTGGTTCGCAGAAAGACAATGGAGGATACGCCCCGCTGAGCGTGTTCAAATCGAAGAACCAAGTTGGATATTTCATTCCGAGTCAGCTGACCAAGCTCGATCCTCGCTGATCGCTTGATGTCTGAACTCGACCGAACGCGGACGATTCCGAATGAAGCGAAGAAATTCGAAAGACTTCCCTGGGTGCCTCACCTGTCTCCGACATTTATTCTTCCTATCTATATCTGAGTCTCACTATGGTCTGCATCGGAACTCTATCGTCTAACAGATCGATTGGAAAGCTTAGCGTTTGGCCCAGATGATCGCCGTCATGGAGAAACGCATACGGATGAAGATGACCATCGAAACGAGGTGTTTCTGGTGCCGCTGAGAGGTAGGTTACAGATGTGAGCTCGGCAGAACCTTGATCATCGATTCTGAATCTTATTCTTGACTCCACGAGCCAAGAGTTCGAGTCTGCTCCACAAGGTTTCTTGTTTCGTCGGCAACTTCCGCAGGAGATCTTCACGCAAGTCGCGATTCCCGCATTACGGTTGAGAATCCCGGGATCGGCTCGGGTTGTCGGGGCATTCAGCACAGGCAGAGACAAATTCGATGTTGCGGAATAAATGTCAACCGGAAGGCGTCACCGTTTACGAATAAATTTCCGGACCGGTACTGGTAACACAACGGGCCATTGGGATCCGGAAAGTCTATCCCTTTCAATAATTGGTCTCACTAATTCGAAGATGTTCTCCAGGGAGCCTAGACCGCCCCGTGCGTCCGTGTTCGGAGCTCCCAGATTTGAGATGGATCTCGTCAAATCCTGAACATGAGACAAACCTCCGAAGATGTTATCCAAGAATGCGTTCGACGAACATATGAAACCTAACAACAGAGTCACAATTACGGTCCGGAGCATTATGCTCAAAATTCTAAGAGACAAGACCAGGCCGTCTCCTCTTAAATACGAGCGGGAGAGGCTCTCCGATGAAAGAAGCGTCGATGAAGGCGAGCCCGACTTGTAGCACCACCGAAGCTTATCTTCCTTGCGGGATCGACGGCTGGCGACAATCGGCTACTGAAAGACATCACTGACGTCGGTTCAGGGTTTATCGCCTTCCGAATCCCATACGACGTTTCCGCGAGAGAAGTCATATACACGAGTTTTTACGTTAAAAAGGACCGATTCCGTGGCTCATAATGATAATAATATTCGGAAGCTGCTGTGCTGTAAATCTGCGCGTATTTCCCCATATGTTATACGTAGACCCTGGCAGCTGTTCATGAGCGACTCGTGAGTCAAGATTCAAGGGACTATTTCGTGACCCACAGAAGTCCACAAGAGTTGATCGGAAGTCACAAACAGTTTTGAATGGGATCGTGAAGGGAAATTAGTCCTACTTCCTCTAGGCTCCGATTCTCTAGATGTGTCATTGAGTTTATTCCACAGGCGGCTGTCGAATACCCACATATTGAGCTCCCGAGAGCGCTCTGTGCAATCAACATGGCAGGCACTTTGCAAGTCGTTGTCACTCCATATGTCCAGTTCTCTGAGTTATCCAGGCGAGAACTCAACCCGAGCGTATCTCATACTCTTCGTAGATTTGTGACAGATCGGTAGTAGCGGAAGAGCATGCTCATTCCTCGAGGATACGCTTGGTGTCGGCCGCTCTCCAGAGCGGACAGAATCTTTTTGCGATTCCGAGTCCGGTATCGCGCTCTTTTGTAGCCAACGACGTTCAACACTTGGGTCACCCTCAGCTCATTCATCGGGTAATGACTTGCTGCCGCGGGCTCCCGACCGATTTTTCGAGCTCCCAAAACACGAATGAAACTGTTCAGCGTCCAATGCCGTGCATGAGGCGAATAGGCGATGTTCCTGAGTTACAGGGGAGTCCCATTCCTTCGAAGAGTTTCCTGAATCTCCGAATCAGCTGGATCTTATCCGATCGATGTACAGCTCAGAGTCCATGGGAATCATTTTCAAGACTCCTAGACTTCAAGCTCCTCGAACTCCTCAATTTTGGTGAAACAGGGATATCTCTCGCTGCATTTTTCCGGTCGAGCGCATCATTCCCGAAGATCTGAACAGGGGATGACAGATCTCCCGAAGGGAAGGGTGCCAACTCCGAAGATCATGCCCGATGCACGCCGAATTCGGGTGAGCACGACTTCAGTTGGTTCCATTCAAGTCTTTCCCTGGCACAACCTAAGCCAGGTGCGCCATCCTCTCAAGTGATGACTCGCGGTTCTCCGCGAGAGAGACAGCAACGTTAGGACTCGCTGATGACGCTGCCCAGGTCTTATTCCAATGCCCAGTGATGATGGCGTTCAGGTATGTAGCACCCGATCGCAACTTGGATGCGCTGATCGCATCGCGAAAGATGCTCGGTGCTCTTCGCTCGTGAGTAGGGGAACTTCATATTTCCGCGGGCGATCGGGGAAGCGGTAGATGCAACAGTGAATCTGCGTGTGGAAGCACAGAATTACAGTACTCTCCCAAGGCTCCGGTGGTTTCGTCTCCGTGCAAGGACTGAATATCCCTCTCAATGACGTATCCCTGGTCCGACACTGATGGCCCAGGCCTCCCGATGACCTTCAAACTCTGGCTAACCGTGAGTACTCAACGCGCTCGGCATTCCAGCCCCCGAAGATCTGTCGGAGGGACTGACGATTGCTGCTCTTCCACGTCTCGGTCTAGAGTCCTAGAGTGACCGGGAGGATATCTTACGCTCGAGGCGGGACGCAGCAAACGGAGATCTTGTTTCATCTTCGAGAAGTTGCAGCAGATTGGTAGCACTGGGAAGAAGGAACGATTTGATGGAGAGAGCGGCTCCGTCGATCAAAGTCGGCCTGCAAGCCAGACGACCGCCCGAGTCACGCCTCCCGCTCCCTCCCTTCATCTAGATTCTAGATCATTTGCGTAGGAAATAAGTATCCCCGATCACCGGTACCATCGGAACGCGCACCCTACGGTCTTGCTCGATAACCATCGATTTCGTAACCAGAATGCGTCGAATGAATCCATGTTCGCTTCAATAAGGAAAAGCTTGCAAGAGCGCAGACCCCGACCATCGATCCATGCCTCCCGCATAGCTTGCAGGCAATCTCCAGGTTACACCTATACGATTGGGAGCTCCGTATGACTATCACCCTTCAGTGACGGAGCGCATGATCCGTCTTGTAGAGGCATCCACAGTGTTGAACCTGTTTGGAAGTGCGACATCCGGGAGAGGAAGAGACAAATTGACGCTATAGCGCTCCGTCGAAGCTCTGAGTAGTTCTGTCCAGCAACTACCAGAAGATTGATAATCTAGACGACACTCAAACTTTTTGAACTCGATCGTCTCACATATCCTTGATGTTCGGCGTTTCGAAATATACGGAAGGAGGTTGAACTGACCGGGGGCTTTTGAGTCGGATGGGACGAGACGGTTTACAGGAAGCGAGCTCTGCTGTTTTCGGAACTCGAAACACTCTCGGAAGCCTGCCTCAGACCGTCCCAAGATGGAATCGCGGCTTGTCATCGAACTTCTCGAGAGACCCGAAAGAATTCAAATCATCTAAACCATTTTGGATGAAGAACCTATCTGCCCACCTTGGCTGCTGGACGGCTGGGGCATTGATGACTTGATGAAATCTCCTGTCCTGCCGAAGATTGCTATTCCGAGCCGGCTCTGTGTGGTATGTTCAGTTCGCAGACCTGGGACTGGAAAGGAAATACTCGCGGTCGCTGAGCCGCCGAAGCGGAGGTCCGACTCACAAATCAGCGGTCGCTTCTCGAAGACTTGGGATATTCGAATGAGAGAGGCAAGGTAGCCTCCGGTGGCCACCTTGGCGGAGAGCGCCCATCCGGTCGACCGCCTCGAAGACCCGCGCGTTTCCCTTATTGAGGGTTGTTTTCCGACGGGCGCCATATTCGATTTTTGAGTTCCTCGACGAGCGCCATACGTGATACTCGCTCGGGACACTAAGCTCTAATTGGTCGAAGTGTTCCAGGTGATTCTCCCAAGAAAGAAACCGAGGATTCGCGTTTCATGCTCGGGCAACAACTTGGAAAGGCAGCCCCATCTTTGTCTCTCGTGGAACCCTTCTCACTTCATATGTGGCACCCCTCAAGGGAGACCTATGGTTCTCTAATGTTTGTACATATGTTGATGATGTTAATATATCTTAAAAACATCAATAATGTATGTTCTGAGCCCAAGGAGAGTTTCGCGCTAGACGGTCATTGGCTAGAATCCTGGAGTTCCACAGCAATCCGAGCGTGGAACCCCGAGAAAGCGTCGATGGAGCCTGGGGTTCCATCGGAGCCCCTCTGGGAATCACGGCTCTAGAACTCGTAAACTAGGCAACACTCTCGACTGAGCAGACACCGGAGAACGGGGGCATCTAAGGAACGGGATGATTCTGCGGGTAAAACTGACGTGGAAACTGCCTCCGTGGAACCAGACCCAGGACAGTATGAGTTCGGTAACTACGATCCGAGGATGGTTGACTGGGTTCCCAGATACGATTCCGAAAAGGCGGAGTTTTGACTGATGTCATCGAAGCGAATCGTTCTGAACAATTTGTTCTTGTTCTAACACTTTCGAGATATTTTTGAGAAGAAACTGCAGTTTCGGAAATGTGAAGCATTTCGGAAAAGCTCGGCAGCGCGCATCGAAGAGCTTCAACATCTTGGTAATAAAGAAAGCGTTCTGACGTGAGTTTCAAGAAATTCAGAGCATATCGGCGACCAATGAATGAAGACACGGCATTCGTCCATGAGAACAGCGGAGTCAAACGTTTAATAGCTTGGGACCATGCTTGGTAAATAACGTATCAACGAGCAAGGAAACAATCGACCGAACTTATGAGAGAGCTCGAGAACATCTTCCCGGAAAATAATATGATACTTCTCAACAACAAACCTGAGTTGTCACAGGATAAATATGGTCAACGATCCTTTTCACCAAAACTTCCCAGGCGAACGAGACGAATTCTTGGTTGCTTCAACGTCTCGCTCCTTGAATCCGCAGGGTGTGATCACTAAACATTCTTCTGGGGTTGCTCCGCTCACGAACATCTTTCTAGCACTCATACCTCGGGCTCGGAATTCGCTGAGAAATGAAATTCCACCTCATTC